AGACAGACAGAGACAGAGACAGAGAGACAGACACACGCACCGGGAGGGGGAGGTGAGTGGTGGAGAGGGTTGGATCTGGGAAGAGTTGGGCACTGGAGTGTCACCAAAACATGTGAAACTCTCAAGGAATGAACAAGCATAAGAAGTAAAATGTAAGTCAGGCGTGACGGCACACACTATCAGTATAGCAGTGACATTGTGGGTGCAGGGGATAAAACTTAGGTCCTTCGGGAGAGTATCAAGTGCTCTCAGTCACCGAACCATCATTCTAATCCCTCTGGCCTTGAATTCTTAGCCAGGTGAGGTAGCGCACGCCTTTGATCCCAGCGCTCTGGAGGGAGAGGCAGGCGGATCTCTGTGAGTTTGAGGCCAGCCTGGTCTACAGACAGAGTTCCAGGACAGCCAGGGCTACACAGAGAAACCTTGTCTCACAAAACCAAAAGTAAATAAAAGTAAAATGAAAGGTACACATAGCCAGTTCAGGTCAGGCTGAGCTCAAAATAAACAGGCAGGTTCTTTCTGTCAGTTCAGAACGGGTAATTCTAATAAAATGTAAGTTTAGGACTGTATGTGGAACACTAACGGCATCTGAGTAGCATAATCATGTGGTACAGAGAGGCCAAGGGAGCTTCCCAAAGCGGATGAGGCCTGAGCAGATGGAGCCTTGAAGGAGAGCAGCAGCCACTGCTAACTGGCTAAGACTGGATACAACAGCTTGAGTAAGACTCGGAAGTAAACATATATGCAAAGTGAGAATTTTTCAGTCAGCTATTTTGACATGATTTGACTTCCCACTAGTAGATGTTTTGTTTTAACATCTCACTAATATATGCAACAAACAGTCCTGACCTCCCCCCCCCCAAACCCGTGGCTGAGTCACTGCAGTCAAGGGATGGAGATGAGGCTAAGAGGTATTTGGCATGTATATAAATCATTTAAAAATGTTTTCATTTTATTTTCAATTATGTGTCCTTTTGTCTGTTTGTGAATAGGTATATGCATGAGTGAGGGCAGGAGACTGCAGAAACCACAGGAGATTGCCGGACCCCCTGGAGTGGGAGTTACAAGCAGGTTACTGTGCAGATGCTGGGATTGAGAATGAATATGGGTCCTCTGTAAAAGAACTGCATGCTCCTAACCGCTGAGCAATCTCTCCAGCCCCCAAATGAAGGATGCACCAAAGGAGAGCAAGTGTACAAGCATAGAAATGGGTTCAGAATTCGAAATGTTGTAGCGGTCTTGCAGAGAGCTTGGAACGGTGGCCACACCCACTGGGCGTGGCTTCAGGCTGTCAGAAGCGGAAAGAGGAAAGCTTGAGCTGTGGCTTTCCTTTGCCCCGTCTTTCTGGTAGGGAAGACTGAGAAACGCTCACGTGGTTCTTCGTATTTTCCTGTGTATGTGTTCCCCAATAAACACCCACTTACCATTTACCTTGGGTCTTGTGAAATAATTACATCCTCGCCTTCACAATGCTGCTGGAGAGAAAAGGACTGCTTCAAGAACAAGAGGAAATGTTATAAAATGTGGTTGTGCTCGGCTATTAGAAAAGAAGGCACAGTGTGTAAGGTTGAGCAGTGACTGAGTTGCAACTCAAGGCAGAAAACTCAGGAGGAGGGACTCAGTGATTAAGAGCACGTGCTGCCCTTGCAGGAGACCTGGGTTTGATTCCCAGCATACCCAGGTGGCTCACAATGGACAATGGTCCGTAACTTCAGTTCCAAGAGAACCAGTGCCCCATTCCAGCCTCTGAGGGCACCAGACTGCCATGCAGTGCACACACAATTATGTAGGCAAAAAACACCCATACATATAAAATAAATCTTACAGCGTGGGAGGGGCTGGAGAGCTGTTAAGAAAACTGGCTGTTTTTCCGGAGGACCCAGGTTCAATTCCCATCACCCACATGACAGCTCATTTCAGTTCCAGGAGACCTGATGCCCTCTTCTGGCCTCTATGGGCATTCCAGTCATGTGCACTCTCTCACATGCACACAAGGCACTCCTACACATAAAAATACATTAAGGAAGCCGGGTGGTGGTGGCCCATGCCTTTAATCCCAGCACTCGGGAGGCAGAGACAGGTGGATCCCTGTGAGTTCGAGACCAGCCTGGTCTACAAGAGCTAGTTCCAGTACAGCCTCCAAAGCCACAGAGAAACGCTGTCTGGAAAAACAAACAAAAAACAAAACAAAACAAATTATCGCACACCTTTAACCCCAGCACTCAGGAGGCAGAGGTAGGTGGATCTCTGAGTTCGAGGCTACCATGTTCTACAGAGTGAGTTCCAGGACAGTCAAGACTCTACAGAGAAACGCTGTCTTGAAAAACAAAACAAAAATTTCAAAAAAAAAAAAAAAACAGACAAAAAACGTGGAAGAGGCAAGGGAGGAACATCAGCAGAAGCCAGAGAGAATGCAGACATCTGGGTGTTCTGTTGGCTCTTGTGTGTCTCCTTTCTACAAGAATCTTGAGAACGGTAACATCTTTCTTATGCCCTCCTAGGACACAATGTTGTAAGGCAGGGTGGAGGGATCTCCTCCTTTAGTCACTAACTAGCAAAGCTTGGAAACATTTTTGCTTGTCACAGTAGTGGGGAGGCCAAGTAGGCAGAGGTGAGTGATGAGGGCCAGCAGAGCAGCCTTCCACCACAAGAATCCCTATGATTCAAATACAGTGATGCCAAAATGAGAAACTGTTTTATAAAGGAGGACCAGCCGCCTCGCTTTACAATTTTGTCCAGGGCCAGCCATTCTCATTGGAGAGTATGGGTGCATCAACTAAAAAAACATTGAACCGGAGAGATGAGTCAGCAGGCTGGAGCACTTGCTACTTTTTTTATTTTTTGGTTTTTACGAGACAGGGTTTCTCTGTATTGTTTCGGTCCAGCCTGGCCTCGAACGCACAGAGATCCGCCTGCCTCTGCCTCCCGAGTGCTGGGATTAAAGGCTTGCGCCACCACCGCCTGGCAGGAGCACTTGCTACTCTTGAAGAGGACCTGGCTTCGGTTCCCAGCACTCACATAACAGTTCACAATTATTCACATAGCAGTTCACAACCACCCATAATTCCAGCTCCAAGGGTTCTGAAGCCCTCTTCTGGCTTCCTCAAGCATCAGGCACACACGGTACACATATACACACACACACAGACAAAGCAGACGTTAAGAGTGCTTGCTGCTCTTGCAGAGGACCTGAGAGGCACAGACAAATGAATATCTGTGAGTTCGAGGCCAATCTGGCTTATGTAGAGAGTTCCAGACCAGTCAGGATTACACAGTGGGACCAAATCTTTTTTTTTTTTTTTTTTGGTTTTTCGAGACAGGGTTTCTCTGTGGCTTTGGAGGCTGTCCTGGAACTAGCTCTTGTAGACCAGGCTGGCCTCGAACTCACAGAGATCCACCTGCCTCTGCCTCCCGAGTGCTGGGATTAAAGGCGTGCGCCACCAACGCCCAGCGGGACCAAATCTAGGGAAAAAAAATGACCAACTAGGTATGATGGTGCACACCTGTAATCCCAGCACTCAGAAGACAGAGAGAGGAGGATCACAGTGAGTTTGAAGACAGCCTGGTTTTCAGAGTGAGTTCTGGGCCAGCCTGGGCAGTGATACCCTTTAAAAACTTAAAAAAAAAATTAAACACTACTGGGGAACCAACAGAGCTTGTGTGTTGAAAGAGAAATGAAAAGCCACCTAATTTAGTCAGTGATAGTGAATATTCACTTTAACAAGCTGCCAATGCGTCAGTAAGTACACCGTGGAAACCCCAGCATAGCCATGTGTTATTCAAAGCCAGCCCCTCTTTGGAAATTGGCTCCGTGTCTTACCTTTTTTTGGCTGAACACTAGCCTCTCTATAGTAAGCAACCACTGGCAGCTTCACATATTAGGTTTATGAAGGACGATTTCTCTTTAGCATAATTTGAGATTTACAAAGGCAAAAATCTTGCTTCTCTGATGCCGCTATGCTCAGTATTCTTAGTGAAGCTTAGAAGCAGACACATTATATTGTACACAAAGGGGGTGCATAATTATGACTGCGAAACAAACTACACCTTGGGATAAGAATCAACAGAGCAACTTTATTAACAATGTACACGATGGAAAGGGGAGAGCTGGAGAGATGGCTCAGCGGTTAAGAGCACTGACTGTTCTTCCAGGGGTCTTGAGTTCAATTCCCAGCAACCACATGGTGGCTCACATCCACCTTGAATGAGATCTGGTGCCCTCTGCTGGCCTGCAGAAGGCTGTATACACAATAAATAAATAAAATATAAAAACAAAAACACAAAAAAAGATGGAAAGGGGAAAGAAGGAACGCAAAAGAACAGTAGATGACACCCATGTATGGATATATTATTTTTAATGTGTACTATCTTTTTTTTTTCTTCTTTTGAGACAGGGTTTCTCTGTGTTGTTTTGGAGGCTGTCCTGGAACTTGCTCTGTAGACCAGGCTGGCCTCGAACTCACAGAGATCCTCCTGCCTCTGCCTCCCGAGTGCTGGGATTAAAGGAGTGGGCCACCTTTCTGCCCTTGTATTATTAGATAATGGAACAACAAACAAAAGATTCATAGTAATTATCTCTAGTTATGGCTACTCACTCCTGGCCATGGGCCTAGGAAATTACACCAGCAGGCAGGCCCTTTCCTCTCAGTTATAGGGAGAAAACAGGCTAAGAGAGACATCCGTGCATACCCACCTTATATTCATATAGTCCAGCCTGGGTTTGAACTCAGGGTCCTCCTAGGTTGGACTCCTGAGGGCTGGAGTTTCAGGCCCATGATGCTGCACTTAGCTCTTCTTGTAGTCGAAGGCTGGGGTTGAGGGATGGAGGAGTCAGCGGGGGACAGTTCTAAGCCTGCGTCGGTAACTTTTTTCTAAGCTTTACATTCATTTATGTGTCTGTGTACGAGCCTGCCTGAGTATGTGCGCACCATGTGCAGAACTACAGTTACAGGCAGTTGTGGGGCACCATCCACGCGCTGTTAAGAGCACTCCTAACCAGACCCAGCAACTGGTGTTTTATGAATGCTGGTGTTTTGGATGCTATCTGAATATTGTAATGAAAACAGAAACAGCGCCAACTGAACACGCTTCCCCGCTTTCTCTCAGTCCAGCTTAGGGCCGTCTCCCAGCGACAGACCTGAATCACTAGTTTGCAGACCCCTTTGTGCTAACTGGCACTATGGGACCACCCCACCACCTACCGTCCTGCTCGGCAACGAGGACAGAATATCGGATCTGAAGCATCTGGGCCAGCCCAAGATAAAGGACATGGGCATAGAGCAACAAGCCTGCCTAGACAAGAACATGGCGCCAGACACCACACGGGGGTGCTCGCACTAAGACGACGAGAGTCCCGTTCCAGGCGCGTTAATTAGGCCAAACAGGCAGGTCCCCCTTCCTGTGCGGCTGGGCATGAGTCTGCTGATCTAGGGGCCAGACATGTGCAAGCCGCTTGGAGGCGGGGTGCGGGTGGCCAGAAGGCCCAGTGCCCGTGGAGGCCAGGGTCCCCCGCAGCCCAAGGGCTCGTGAGGCCGGGGTGGGGAACGCTGTCGAGGCTTCACAGTGGAGAGGAAATTCTTCGCCCCAGCTAAGAGCGCTTCCTAACGCCATGTCTAGAAGGAAGACACTTCGCGAGACCTCAACCCAGGCCACACGAGGCCACGAGGGGGCAGCAGAGGACTCAACCTGAGACTTAAAAAAAAAGGAAAGAAAACAGAAAAACAGGTCGAGAAACGGAAAGGGATTCACTTGGGAAATATCGTCAGTTGCCTTCGGTGTATTCAAAGTTAGCATACACGACGCAGTCTCGATGAGAATAACGTTGTCCCCCGCCCCCCCCATAGGCTCGAGGTGCCCGTGAAGCCACCCAACACGAACTGTCTCTTCACTGGGCAAAACCAAGAGAAAAGGGGGGTCATGACCCCTAAAGGCTGACGTCAGCAGGGGCCTTGTCACAATCTCTTTTTTGTTAAGTTCTGATTCAAATAAATTGGTGACCTCCATAGAGGCTGCCAGATGGGTGCAGACGGGGTGGTCACTAGGAGCATGGCCGAAACGCAGAAGCTGTTCCGGAGCAGCCAGGACTCCTGGCCGGCCAGCGTGGAGGGGGAGTCGAGAGAAACGCAGAAAGCTCAGTTTCGGCTTGCAGCAGGCAAAAGGTAATGGCCGGAGGAGGAGCGTCGGCGGCGAGCTCCGGATTTACATGCTAATGCACCGGCCGCTCCACATTCCCGTGCCACCCCCACCCGACCACCAAAAATCAAACATGCAAAAGAGCCCCAGCAGGCACAGTGACCCCTTCCTGAAAAGCAATGCTGTGGAGAGGGGGACTTCATGCGTGACCCCTCCAACACTCTCGTGTTTCACACGGGTTACACAAACCATGTAGTACGCCCCAAACCAGAATTCCTTCTGCTGCTGGTTTTGGTTTTTCAAGGCAGCGTTTTCCCTGTGTATCTCAGGCTGTCTCAGAGCTCGCTCTGTAGACCAGGCTTGGCCTCAAACTCACAGTGCTCCTCCTGCCTTTGCCTCCTGAGTGCTGGGGTTCAAAGCAAATCCTTGCGATATCATTTGCATAACGCGGAACCTGACGTTTAAATCCACAGTACTCCAGGCTGAATCCCACCCTTGAATTAAAAGGTATCTCATTTTGTTCGTATTTTAAAATCAGAATATTTTGCACACAGAGTCAGAATTTCTGACTTCCCTCGCACAGCCACACGTGGCAGCAGCTGGTGTGGAGTGCACACACCCGTAGGTGTGAATGGGTGTGTGCCACTGACTTCCCTCCCGCCCTGTTACCGAGCAGTCCCTGTGTGCTTCGCTCATTTACACACCATCATCTGCCCTCTTAGACACAGCGCATTTTTGACCTCTCAAGTGCCTCGCGATTTTAAAGTACTTTTCCTTGTGAGACGCTGTTTTAGCCCTGCGCTTCAGTAAAGAGGATAAATGGTCTATAATGGCTACGTGAACACAGTCCAGACAGATTCTACTTGCCCAAGCAACGGAGGCAGCACCTAGGTTTTCCTGACACCCAGTCTTGTTATTTTCCCCATCAGGAATTTCACGTAGAAGTTGGCTGAACTAAACCAGTGGAAAACGGATGCAACTGCTAAATAGACACGTTCCAACTATTTAGCGATCAAGGGTTCAAATTCCTAACCTTTTCCTTAGATTATTTCTGCTTCCCCTCGTCTTCCACACTACCTTTCCGATGACATTGAGCTTTATGATTTGCTTTGACCGACGAATTGTGATGGAAGTTAACACGTATCCATTTGGGGAAAACCATTGCAGGGCCCGCGAACAATTCATGCGTAGTTCACATTGTTGGTAAGTGTGTGTGTGTGTGCAAACTTCATGGTGACACATGCTTTTAATTCCAGCACTTATAAACACGCGGATCAAACCGGAGTTCCAGGATGGCCTGGTCTACAATGGCAAGTTCCAGGCAGCCAATAAGAAGATAAGCGAGCCCCGGCATCTAAGGGATCTTAATAACTTACAATGAGCGAAGCCCCTTGTCAGTTACTTTGGACAATAAATGAGAAATAAAACCACTGGGGTCTTGGCCTTGAGCATTCAGCATTGTTAACAAGACACGTTCACTGAGCATCTCTTAAGATCCGGAATGCAATTTCAGGGCTTCTGATCGCAACTTGGTAAAGGCTGGAGGACAGCAAATTGCTGATTCCCCCTATAGTTTCTTTGGCCACCGCGTCCTGACTTTGAAGAAAAATATTCTTTTCAGAGCCCTTCGCACATGATTCCTGCAGTTTGATTGGGGGAGAGAAGAAATGGGGGAGGCCCAGATTGGGTTCTCTCCATTCCAGAGCCTGATCCCAGAACTGTCTCCACCCACTAATACTCACACGTAACTTTGTCATAGGGCGACTATTACCACTCCCAAGGTGTCACAAACAGAAAGGATCTGCAGCTGGCGCCACTGCAATGGCAAGGCAAGCCAGCCAGGCTGCGCTCTAGCCTCACTGGTACCCGGGCTTGCCTGAGCCCCGAGAAGCAGCATTTTCTAGGGGAAAGAAGCCTTCTCAAGTGGGAACAAAAATGATGTGAGGCGAACACCCATCCCGGGCACTATGTGAATTTGGGGTGAGTTCTCTTAGGCCTAGTTCATTTCTACTTTTCAGCGGCTTACCAGGCTGCCCCCCCCTCCCCCGGTGTGATCGGGATCCACCATTTTCCTGGGCTTTTCCCCCCCGGCAAACCGCCGAGCCTGTCATCTTTGTACACTTGCAGAGGTCATAAGCGGTGTGGGCTCGGAGCAGGCAGAGCTTCAGCGACCGCACCGCAGCAGGGATCAAAGGCCCGCCGGGGGCGGCTGAGAGCCCGAGCCTGCGCAGTCCTGCTCCCGCCTTTGGGAAAGGGTTGGCGGCCACGCGGGCTCGGTCCACCAGCGTGCTCGCTAGAGGCGGGAAAAGTCCTAGGTCGGTGCCCCCCTCCTCCCCGCGCCCGCCCAGCCAGCCCGTCTTCTCCTCCAGCGCCCGGCCCGGGGGGAGGGGGGAAGGGGGCGAGGAGGGCCGGCGCCACTGACTCATCATCTCCAACCCCCTTCTCGCGCGCGCTCCAAGTCTCAGGACTTTGAACCTGGGCACTGGCGCGAGGGGCGCGGCGGCGGCACCTGGGGAAGCGCGGCCCGGGCCGGGCGCCGGCCCCCAGCCTTTGCCAGCATCGGCAGCCGCAGGCGAGGGGAGCCAGGGACCCCCGGGCGGCTGCGGCTGCCTGGCCGCGGCGGCGGCCACCCCCGTGCGCGACGGCCCGCCCGGCTCCTCCCTGCACGCGGGGCCAGTGGTCGCGTCCGCCGCGACTCGGCTAGGCCCCGCTCCCGGCGCCTCGCGTCACTCAGCAGATGCACAGCGCCCCCGCCGCCGAGGGAAGGCTCTTTATTTTCCAGTAGGTCGCGGGGTGTAGCGAGGCATCCTGGGATTTGTAGTCTCCGGGAAATCAGGCAGGACCCGGATCCCAGGGAGACCTGGAGCACAACCGACGCGGATTCTGGGTCGGCGGGGCGTGTGTGCGTGTGCGCGCGTGTGTGGCAACCGGGCTCGGAGTGGGATGGGGTTGTGAAAGGTGAACAGACGAAATCAGGCGAGGCAGACGTGAAGCTGGATGGAGGAGAGGCAGGGAGGAAGAAGGCGCAGAACGCCAGGGAGAAGGACCAGAAGAGAGGTGACATTATCTTCCTCTAGTGGGGAAGAGGCATGGGCCTGGTTTGCAGGGAAACTGAGGGCACTCCCCCGGGCCTCGTGCACATCTTGGGGGAGTTCAGTTATAGTCCGAGGGAGGGGCACAACGCAGAAGTGTCTGGAGAATGACCGCCCTGGTGCAGGACGGTGGCACCTGCCCAGCCCACTCAGTTTCCTGTGCTAGCCACCACGGGACCATTCTCCAAACCAGAGACCTCCTCTACCTCAGAGAGACCCTGAAAACAGATGTGAGCAAGTTTTAGGGTCGAGAAAGGAGACCTCCCCCATAAGAAACAAAACCCTCCCAGCATTTTGAGTCTTTCCAATAATACATTAAGGTAGCTTGCTAATGTTTGCGCACTCGTAGCCCCAATCATTCAATACCCAGTTCCTTTCCACCCATCATCAGGGGGACTAACCTCCAATGCCAGAGAGACAGGCACTTTCAACCCTTCTTTCCCTGCAGCCCGACTATCTGCCCTCAAGGGGCACTGAGCGGTACAGCCAGAAGGAGAATTAGCTGGAAGCTCGGCTTCACGTTTTCCTCCCTGCACGCCCTACCTCCCGTAGCTCCTGGTAGTGCAGGCTTGACCTTGCCAAGCATCCCGGCTTCCTCTGGCTCAGCAAGAATAAGGCGTACGTTGAGGCCAGCGCTCCTCCTAGGGCGAAGGCCTCTGCACTGACCTTGAGCACCAGCAACCCTGTCAACTGTAGAGTGAGGGTGCTTTTTGGGGGTACAATCCCTATTTCCTGTCCCCCGTACCTTTCCCCTCCTTCGCCAGTACCTGGGAGGAGGGGGCAGTAGGAGCGGGCCCCAGTGCTGTCTTCGTCACCTCGGTCACCACCACGATGAAGCCCAGGATCAGGTTGAAGGTGTTGGATATCATCATGGCCCGCACCTACCAGTGAGCCAACTCAGCCCTGCCCAGCCTAGGGGACTCATTCCAAGCTCAAACTCCACCTACAGCCTAGCTGAAAACAAAACTCAGGCAGAACTGGTGGTGTAGGTAGGCAGGCCTGTAATCCTTGACCCCTGGGAGGCTGAGGCAGGGGGATCAGAAGTTCAAGGCCTGACTGGACTCCAGAATATGTTCAAGACCATCCTGAGTAAACTTACTGTGGTGGTGGGGGGGGGCTGGGGCTTTTTTATTAGCTCAGGGGTAGTGTTTGCCTATTGTGCACGTGACTCTGGGTTCAATCCACAGCACATACACACACACACACACACACACAGAAAGAAAGGAAAAAGCCTAACAAAATTCTATAGTTCCCTACCTTCTAACATTGTAGCAGGACCATCAGGCCTCTGACATTTTTACTTTGCTCTTTGGGTTGAGGGGCGTGTGTGTGTGTGTGTGTGTGTGTGTGTGTGTGTGTGTGTCTGTGTGTCTGTGTGTGCGCGCGCGCATGTGCACGCACGTTTGTGTTGGGGACAGGCCTGTAGTCTGCCCCCCTCTCACCTTCCAGATGCAAGGTGCTCTCCGAAGCTCAAGGGTGATAACCCCAGTGAGGAAGCCCTAAATGATGAGGACAACTTGTGAACTCCAGTCTTCTTAGAGGAGGGTCCCAGGGCCTTCCTTTCTCCCCTTGAGGTGGATCTTACCGAGGCTGCAGGCCAGAGTGGTAGTGCTGTGCCCATACGACAGGCAGATCTCACGCAGGCAACCAAGGCAGTCAAGGGCACCATGGCTGTCGCCAGCCACAGCTGGCTCACCTGGGGGCCAGAGTCGGGTCATTAGGGGGGCTGCGGATTCTCTTTCTCCTCACGGTGATTTCATCCTTTAGATACCAGTAACTGGGTACACGCACAGCAGAGGAAAGTTTAAAAAGGCAGTTAAAATGGTGATGCCATTTTTTTCTTCTGCCTCATTTTATAGTCCGTCCCCCACCGCCCAGCAGTGCATCTGGTACATGGTTTGTATTCACTGAATATGGATGGAATTGAGGGTGTAGTTAGCCAAAGCCTGAAGCAGGGGAACCTGGCCTCACCGCCACCGCCAGTAGCTGTCCACTTTGCCTGTGTCTTGCCCAGTGCTGTAGCTTTTCCAGACGAAGGCTGGGTCTCTCCTGCCTTGGCAGGTCAGCTGTATGATCCATGGTTCCCTTGACGGTAACAGTCGGTGCTTCCTGGATCGGAAAAATTCATCACGGGACCGTTCAGCAAATGAGAACACACATTGTCTCTTTAACTTACCCTGCGCCGACTCCCAGTTCAGAGTCGAGGCCCGGAACGTTATACCTACCTGGTCTGAAGCAGCCACTCCAAGGGGTTGGAACTCTGGGTCCCAGTACTCCTTAGGGCCTTAGCAGCTCAGTGCAGACAACAAAATTCTCCTGACTGTCTGTCAGAGCTGAGGTGTGGTGGGTCAAAGATCACCACCATGAGGGCCTAAGGACCCAGGGAGTGGCCTCACGTAGACATCAGCCTCCATTCACCTCACTCTTCCTCGCCACTTCCTGTTGCCCTATTTCTCCCCATCTCCTTCAGGGTTCGCTTACTTCATTCCTATGTACATAATCACCCCAGACCTCAATCTCCCCTTATTTCCATCTAGTCTTTGTTCTTCGGCTCCCTCCTCAAATTACCTGCTCTGCCCTAGTGAGATGTGGTGTTACTGTCTGGCTGGCTCCTCCTGGAACTCAGGTTGCGGTCCCCTGGCTTCTCTGGACAGTTTCTCCCCTGGCTTCTCTGGACAGTTTCTCCCCTGGCTTCTCTGGACAGTTTCTCCCCTGGCTTCTCTGGACAGTTTCTCCCCTGGCTTCTCTGGACAGTTTCTCCCCTGGCTTCTCTGGACAGTTTCTCCCCTGGCTTCTCTGGACAGTTTCTCCCCTGGCTTCTCTGGACAGTTTCTCCCCTGGCTTCTCTGGACAGTTTCTCCCCTGGCTTCTCTGGACAGTTTCTCCCTCCATCCCTGGGCTTTGTGAAGTCTAGGCAAGCAGGCTACTGCCGAGCTCAGCCCTCGCTCCTTCCTTTCTTTTTTCTTTCTTTCTTTCTTTTTTTTTTTTTTTTTGTTTTTTATGAGACAGGGTTTCTCTGTATTGTTTTGGAGGCTGTCGGTCCAGCCAGGCCTCGAACTCACAGAGATCCGCCTGCCTCTGCCTCCCGAGTGCTGGGATTAAAGGCGTGCGCCACCACCGCCCGGCTCTCCTTCCTTTCTTGAAGGCTTTTTTTCTGAATTGGACATTGACTAGTGGATTAAATGGAGGGAAAGCCCTGTATATAGTGCAGGTTGTTTCTGACTCAGTTAGGAACACCCAGGTGCCCAAATGTGCATCCTTGGAAAGGATACTACACCAACAATGTTTTTGAGAGAAAAAGGTTCCTGCAGCCTGGGCTAGAACCTCAGTTCCGCCACTTTTACCTTGGCTACATTATTGTGACATTCATTTACCTATTTGAACTTGCGTTTATTCCCTGAGAATGCAGAGTTAACAATTTGGCCCCGAAGGGTAGCTGCTTCCAGGGTGACTGGAGCACCATTACGGGTGCTGAGAAGGCCTAACAGTTGTACCCGCTGCCCAAAGTTATTTCCACACTAAGAGAACCAACTGGCCCGAATGTATATTTTACAGATCAAACACAGGAAAGAGCCTGAGGTCTCCCCATGAGACTACCTGTGCTTGTGTCCCTGATCTTTCTGGCTGACCTCAGTCTAGTTGCTTAATCTGTTTCCTTATCTATAAAGAGAAATTAAGAATACCAATCTCATGGGGTTGCCTTGAGCATTAAGAGAAAATGCTTATGAATTAGTTTAACCTAGCACATACCACATTAAAAAAAGGTGGTTATTATGATTTATAACCACCATAGGAAAAAAAAACGGAGTCAGAAGATGCCTGGGAGTTGAGGCCCAGCAGAAAGGGAAGAAAAGCGACTTTCCTCATAGCCACTTCTGCCCTACTCACTGCTGAGCCAACATCACAGGAGCACTGTGTCCACGCTGATTTCGTGGGCATCGGGAATCGCAGTTTAAAGGGAACCAGACATCTGTTTGTGACTGGTTCCTCCCTTTTCAGTCGCCAAGAGGGCTGGCTTTATAGTTAATGGCAAGGTTGAGATGTAGGCCTTGCGATGAGGATCCCTGAATTCGCAGGCCAGTGGACGGAGAGCCCTCAAGCACCTTTTTCTTGCCTGTAAATGGGAGCTTATATTAGAGGATTACTGGAAAGATCTCATTCTGCTAAATACGCGAACAAGCATCGAGTAAATATTGACTAAATCTGAGTATGCCACTTAGGAGTGTGCAGCCACTGTTTGGGCTATAATCGCGGCGGGGGAAAAGTATCACATCCCCCTCCTCCCTGCATCCCCCCCAGCGTTGAGCACAGCGCCGGGTGCTTGGTAAGCACTCAGTAAATATTGTTGCATCGAAGAGTCATTAAAGTGTCTTAAAGAACGGAAAATAGAATTCGTGAGGCAGGAGCGAGAAGTGTTTATCAAGAACGGCAAAGGCGGAAGAGTAACTTTAATAATGTTTCTTGTACGGCAGACATTAACTATCTCTATAATCGCCCCTCCTCCTCCTCCTCTCCCAAAAGAGAGACAAATTGTAAGGGAGAGGCTTTGAGATAAAACCCCAGGAAGAACTTCCCGAGCCTGTGCATGTTGGGGCAGAAGCAGCGGCAGAGCCAACTCCTTCCCTGGTATGTCCGGGTCTAGGGTGGGAGGGGCAGTCCTGCTCGGAGGCTGGGGGAAGGACGAGATGACCTTTCACAATCTCCTCCAGTCCCCTCGAGGAACGGTCTGCGCGCCCCACCCCCGCCCCTTCCTCCTCGCGCGCCGCCCCCGGCGGCCCCCCAACCCCCGGGCGGCCCGCACCCCCTGGCGGCCGCCTCTGGCCGCTCCGGGGGTCCCCCGGCCCCGGAGCCCGAGCGCGCAGCCCGCCGCGCCGCGCCGCGCCGCCCCCCGCATGCTAATGGCCGGGCCGCCTCCCGCCGTACACAATGCGGGCCGGGCCGGGGGCGGAGGGCCGGGGAGGGGCGGGGGCCGGGCCGGGGGCGGGGGGGCCGGGGCCCGGCGCATCTCCCCCGGCCCCACGTAACGCTGACGCCCGCGCCGCCGGCCCGCCGCCGCCCGCCCGCCCGCGCCGCCCGCCCGCGCCGCCGCCCGCCCGCCGGGGCTCGTGAGTAGCCGCTCCCCCCGCGCCCCCCCGCCGCCGCCGCCCTCCCCGCCCCTCCCGGAGGGGGCGCGCGCGGAGCAGGTGCAGGGGGCGGGGGCGGGGGAGGGGCGCCGCGCGGCCCCGGCAAACTTCGCCCGCAGCTCCGGGGGGCGGGGTGGGGGCGGCGGGGGCCGGCGTGAGAGTTGGGGGTGGGGGGCCCGGGTCGTGGGGTGGCGGGGGGGAGCCGGGGAGCCCGGCACGGAGGGGAGAGCGGCGGCGCGGCGCGGGGCGGGGGCCGCGCGGCTTTGTAGGGGCCGTGAGGCCGGGCGCCGCGGCCTGGGGTGCGGGGGGCTCCCCGGGGGTGCGCGGCGCGAGGACGGGGAGCCGAGCGGAGGTGCTCCCCCGGCCCGAGCGCAGCCGGTGGGGGTGGGGGAAGGAGCCCAAACTCTCCGGGCCCGGGCTGGGCACGGGGCGGGGGGAGGGGAGAGGATGGGGGTGCCTCCTCTCTGTGTCCCAAACAAAGTGTCACAAAGAGCTCGGCCCGCGGCGGCCGCGGAGGCGGCTGCAACTCTGCTTTTGTTCTCCTGGCCCCGGGTAGCTGAGCTCTGGCCTCCCTGTCTCCCTGCCGACCCTGCCCCCATCATCCCGGGTTATTCTCCGCGGGTGGAGCGCGGGGCGTGCTGGCGGAGCTCCTCGTGTGGGACCGCAGGTCCTGCTCGGCTTGCCCACCAGTTTTTGCGAGGGCTCTTTTCCCAGAGGGGCTCCTGCCCGCCTCCCAGCCTGAGAGCCGAGCCTCCTACATTCACCGCCTCTGACTTTTTTAGGGCCAGCTCTAGTTAAAGGGACTTGAAGTGGCTGTGTGCGTGTGTGTGTGTGTGTGCGTGTGTGTGTGTGTGTGTGTGTGTGTGTATGTGTGTGCGCGCCCCCCCCCCCATCTAGGCTCTCAGAACTTTCAGAATCGGGGTCAAGTTAGGACATGCTCGAACATGGGTCTAGGATAAGACTGTGTGCGGGGGTTGTACCTGCCTCTCACCTCTCGATAGTTGTTTGGGAGCCCATGACTGAAATTTCATGCCCCCCTGTCTCCCTCTGAAAGGTGTTTAAGGTTCAGCATGGTGTGGATTGGAAGCAGCTTTCAGAGCAGTGAGGTTCACAGAACCACGGAGGGACCTTAAAAGTGAGCTGCTGGCATGTGTGTGTTCTCCAGGTGGTCTCGAGTCTGGACAGTCTAATAAACTCGCTGCCCATTTAATCTCATATTCATTAGCTGGTTCAGGAGAGGGGAGCTTGCCAAAAAGGAGAAAGAAAAGCGTGTGTTGTGTGTTGGGGATGAGCAGAGCCAGAGAGGCCTACCCACAGCTAGGCCCCAGAGACCCTCCCTGATCCTCTGCACTGAACACTTGACCTTAAAATGTTTCCAGTCTCAGGGTTTGCAGTGAGGGTGGGGGACCCCTTGGCCCTTCATTTAGCTGGTCGGAATGTAAGCCCTTGCACCTTCCATTCACCCTCCATAAGATCTGGTGGTCCATACCCCTTTCCGCATCAGCTCTCCTGGAGTGTAAAAGTAATTGGCCTGTTGCTTTGGAAATATCTCTAATTTGTAACGCTGGGTCCTGCATCTCTGCAAAAAATACACCAGGAGCGAGATAACCCCTGATTCCCACTGGGTGTGAAAAGTAGGTCAGTGCTACTCTCTGGCCAAGGCTCGGGTGGCGTTTAAGCAGTGAGTATAGAAATATGTGAGGACTGTCCACAGACAATATGTCTGACTTAGGTTCCACACCAGGCCACAGACCCTCCCTGTTGGTGCTCTCCTCAATCGAGAGTGATTCATGAGCTCTGGTGCCTGAGCCCTGGTTTGATGGAAAGATGACGGAAGCCATCTTGACTGGGCCTAGGATGTCCCGGTGGATTTTACTGATTTTTTAGGCCACCTGCTGGGAAGCTTCCTCTGAGGAGAAATTCAGACTACATTTTTGCCTTCTTAGGTGTCACAGCTTTCCATCCTGGGAACTGCTGCATGCAAAAGTATGAGATCTGTCGTTGTTTAGGGGAGGAAGCCTTGCCGTGTTTCTGCTTTTTTGGCTCAGATATTAGGCCATTTTCCTTTGAGATATTTTGCTTGGTGTTTTACAGGCAATTTTAGAGGCCCTAGAATCTCCTCAGGATCAGAATATGTGCCCATAGGTTAGTCAGCTATGACCATGCAGTATTCTCTCTCTCTCTCTCTCTCTCTCTCTCTCTCTCTCTCACACACACACCCCTCCCGGCCATCTGCTTCCTCTGAATATACCAGATTGGCCGTACACCAGGATGTTCCGGGAATCCCCAGGAAAGCAACAGAATGTGATGGGCTCAAATACGATGTCTCAGTAACTCATTCCAGGATGTACAAACTGTAACTGTTATGACATTCTGTATAGCTAATTAAAATTTTTCTAGGTATGTGTATTTTCTGTTTTCAATGACATCCAAAAGGCCAGAGTAACAAGTCCTCCATCGTTTCTCTACCCTCCCATAGTCCCCAAACAGGAATTTTTTTTCCTCATCCACTAGTTTCCATGTCCTCTCTTTGGTGCTAAAATGGCCAATGTGACCTCTCTAGAGCTTCCTAGCTCTGTCTGTGACACTGAGGTAGCCAAAGTGGCCCTCTGGTAGCCCACTGCACTCTCCATGGTACTGAAGGAAAGGCCATTTCTTTTAACATTTCTTGGGGGCTGGAAGAGTCTTGTGACTTAAAACCAGGCAACTTTCAATTTGGCAGAGACTACACATGCAAATTTATTATAACTCATTTTCATGGACGGCGAACAGAGAAACTCAGTGATTTACTCGAGGTTGTACCTCTGAGTTTTATTCTGATTCACCTTTGTGCAGTTTTCAGTGAGCCTGGACAGACTGTTGGTCCCAGGGAAGGGCTTATTTGGAGGATCCATAGGACAAGAATGGATGCCTGAATTTGGACCCACAGAACCACACATTAAGTGGCAGTGGCTGTCCGGTGACACTTGGACAGGACATTTTTGTTAATGTATCTGATAATGCTCTCGAAGGTCAGAGCCTGCGTGTAACAGGTGTTTGCCCCTTCATAGAGTCTGTCTGGCCACATCCACTCAGTGCTGAAAGCTTAAAGACGCTTTTAAAGCCCCAGACTTCTCTGATAAGCAGGGTTCACTCCTGGCCCAGTTCACCTCAATTAAAGATTCGCAAGTAAAGCAATGCTTGGAGTCCTTTCTTAGCAATTCAGTTTCATAAGTCTCACTGTAAGGAAGTTCTTTATCAAATATTATGTCTGAGGTTTAAGAAAGCTAGGCCCAAGTTCATCTAGCCTGAACCAGATACATTTCTGTCTGGGAGGAGGAAAACAGAGGATGACTTCTGGCCATCCACAAGTCTTAATTCCATGACCTTGTCAGGAGACCCCCTCCCCTCGCCATCCTCTCCCTCAGCTCTCCTCCTCCCTGCCTGCCGTGTGCAGCACTTGTGAGGGACAGGGAATTTTAGATGGAGACTTTTAACCCCTTCCTGCTCAGAGCATGTGTGGATCCCCCCTATCTGTGCAGATGGCAAGGCCCCGCCCCCCGTCCCTCACTCCAGCCTCTTGAGCTCAGAGCCAGTGTAATCCTCCTCTTGTGTGAGGAAGCCTCTCCCCTGCAGAGAGGAGGAAAGCCTGCCTCGGAACAGCTCCGGACAAAGGGGCTGAGATGGCCCATCAAACCACTGGCTCCAAGGTTTGAAACGGGGTGGAACCTCAGCGGGGTCTGCAGCTCCTAACCCCTCCCCTAGGCTGGTAGTGCCCCCTAACTTCCACGCCTCCCCCAACTCTCTTCATTCCCTCTGTAGCTGGCTCTCCCTTCACGCCCCTCCCCCTCCGTCTCCAGACTCAGCGCTGCTGGGAGGTGTTTCTCTCCCATGCATGAATGAGTCTCTGTAATGAATGGAAATGAATGGATCAGGAATCCAGGAAGGGGGAGGGGGGAGAGGGAAGACCAGAAAGACTCTGGGTGCCGGCAAAAGCGAGGAGGAGGAGGAGGAGGAACCTGGAGGGGTTTTGGCTGTCTGGCCCCGGGTCTGAGAGAGAGCTGGTATATAGCACTTGGATAACTGGAGTACGGCTAGCCCTCCACATTTGTTTATCCAGGGGTGCAGCCCAGTGCAAGTGGAAGAGGGTATACTGTGATGGCCTCCCACATTGTGTGTGTGTGTGTGTGTGTGTGTGCGCGCGCGCGCGCGTGCGTTGATGGTGTTTCTGGACTAGATGTTTAAAGCATCATTTGGGGGAAGAATTCTGGGCGTTTCGTACAAATTGCCCGATAAAGGTTTGAGGGCATCGAATAGGAAGCACGTGAGACCTCAGGATCCAAGTAGGGAGAAGGGATGGGCTGTAAGAATACAGGCTGCAAAGTGGGGTGACTTGACTGCTGAAAGCCAGGGCTCATCTTTCCTCCAATCAATCTGTCTTGTTTTAGCACCTCCGCACCTGTTGCCTTCATTAGCAGCTTCCCTTCCTCCTCCTTCCAATCCTCAGAGCCAAAGAATGTGAAGGGGGTCCATGGAGGTGAGTGGAGCTCTGGCCTTGACCCGCAAGTGCCTTCAACGGTTCTCCCTCTCCGGTCTGCACTGTTACCTCTTAGCATAGTAATAGACGTTAGTAGCTTGGCCCCAGCACCTAACTTCCGTCTATCCCACAACTTCCGGAGGTGACAGGCACCAGTGTACCCCAGCCTTCAACACACTCTCACTTTGCGTCCTTCGTGCCCTCGATACCCTTGCGTTTTCCATAGACAGGCCCTTTCCGCCCTCTCCTCTACGCTTGTCTTTCCCTACAGGGCTCACGACCCCGCATCTTGGTCGGCCACCTAGAGCCTTCCCCACCAGCCTTCGACGGCGAGCTGGATCTGCAGCACTACTCCAACGGACCAGGTGTGAGCACCGGGTCGCCTGGAATGGGAGCAGTGGGCTGGTCTGAGACTCGTGCAGGCGACCGGCGCTTCCCTTGCCCTGTGTGCGGAAAGCGCTTCCGATTCAATTCCATCCTGGCTTTGCACCTGCGAGCCCACCCCGGCGCCCAAGCCTTCCAGTGCCCACACTGTGGCCACCGCGCCGCGCAGCGTGCTCTGCTGCGCTCACATCTCCGAACGCACCAGCCGGAGCGCCCACGAAGCCCTGCTGCACGCCTGTTGCTGGAGTTGGAGGAGCGCGCCTTGCTACGCGAAGCCCAACTGGGGAGAGCCAGAAGCTCAGGGGGCATGCAGGCCACCCCTGCCACAGAGGGCCTGGCGAGCCCGCAGGTTCCTTCCTCGTCTGCCTTCCGTTGCCCTTTCTGCAAAGGCAAGTTTCGCACCTCCGCGGAGAGGGAACGCCACCTGCACATCCTGCACAGGCCCTGGAAGTGCAGCTTGTGCAGTTTTGGCTCCAGCCAGGAGGAGGAGTTGCTGCACCACAGTCTGACGGCCCACGGGGCTTCCGAGCGCCCCCTGGCGGCTACGTCGACACCCGAACCCCAGCCTCCACCCCAGCCAGAACCCAGATCTGCCCTTGAGCCTGAGCCTGAACCTGAACCTAGGCCTGAGCCTGAACGCGAGGCGAACCCTGCCCCGACTCCTGCACCTCCGGAGGAACCCCCTGCGCCACCTGAGTTCCGTTGCCAGGTGTGCGGCCAGAGCTTTACGCAGTCCTGGTTTCTTAAGGGTCACATGCGCAAGCACAAGGCCTCTTTTGATCACGCGTGCCCTGTGTGCGGCCGCTGCTTCAAGGAGCCCTGGTTCCTTAAGAACCACATGAAGGTGCACACCAGCAAGCTGGGTCCTTTGCGTGCCCCGGGGCCCGGCTCTACCCCTGCCAGGGCCCCTCAGCCTCCTGACCTGAGCCTGCTGGCTTATGAGCCACTGGGTCCTGCGCTCCTACTGGCCCCAGCACCCACCCCGGCTGAGCGCCGAGAGCCCCCGAGCCTCTTGGGCTACCTGAGTGTACGAGCCGGGGAAGTACGACCCAATGGTGAGGGTGCGGACCCTGGAGCCGGCCGAAGCTACGGAGGAGGATTCCGCCCGCTGCCTTCAGCTCTTCCCAATCGGGCCCGGCGGCACCGCACAGAGGACGCAGAGGAGGAAGAGGAGGCGGTGGAGGCGGAAGAGGAGGGCTGGGCCCGGGGCAGGTCGCTGGGCACTCTGACTCCCCTGCACCCCCACCCGGGTGAGGGGTCAGGACAGGCTGCACCCGCCGCGGGGGCCCAGGCAAGACCCACAGCCACCCAAGGTATGTCCGCACTGCTCGCTCCGGCCTGCCTTTGGTTCGCAACACGTGGGCCACCACTCCCTGTAGTTTCCTTTCTAAAAGACCTGTCTGGCATGTCTTCTCGGCTTTCCTTTTTCCTACTGGGAAGCCTTGTGGCTTCCTAAGGGTTAGTGCTTTAACAAATCTTCGTTCCCCCTAACCCTCTTTCCTCTCGGGCCCAGAGAGACGGCGGGTATGACGAGTACGTTATACAGCGGGACCCTGTAACTTCCTTTTAACGTGTTACAGAGGAAAACGGGCTGCTGGTTGGAGGAACCCGATCCGAAACGGGCCGTGGGGCCACTGGCAAGGACTGCCCCTTCTGTGGAAAATCTTTCCGCTCGGCGCATCACCTGAAAGTGCATCTCCGCGTGCACACAGGTGAGGAAGCGTTCCTCCTGGGGGCGGGGTGTCTAGGAGAAGAAAGGTGAGAGCAACCAGAAGGCAGGAAGTCGTGCTGGACAGCTCAGACTCTCATAAGTCACTGGGGAGTCAACATTTGCTCCTGGGCTTTGGGGTGGTTTGTAAATTGAGCAAAACGGCAGTGGGTGTGTGTGGGGTGCGTGCACGCGCAGTGACCCCATGACCTACTGTTGACCCCCTCTCCCCAGGTGAGCGTCCCTACAAGTGTCCACACTGCGACTATGCAGGTACCCAGTCGGGCTCACTCAAGTATCACCTTCAGCGCCACCACCGAGAGCAGAGGAGCAGTGCAGGTCCTGGGCCTCCTCCAGAACCCCCACCCCCTTCCCCGCGGGGCGCAGCCTCGCTGCAGCCGCAGTCAGGAGCCAAGCCAACTCAGGCCTCCGCCACCTGGGTGGAGGGCACTCCAAGCACCCGGCCTCCTTCGAGCAGCACCGGAGCCGGGTCCCGTAGGAAGCCTGCCAGCCCTGGGAGGACCCTGCGCAACGGGCGGGGTGGTGAGGCCGAGCCCCTGGACCTGTCCCTGCGGGCGGGCCCGGGAGGTGAAGCCGGGCCAGGGGGTTCCCTTCACCGCTGCCTCTTCTGTCCCTTTGCCACCGGAGCTCCTGAGCTCATGGCCTTGCATCTGCAAGTGCACCACAGCCGTCGGGCTCGGGGCCGCCGGCAGCCCCGGGCTGACACATCTCCGCCCTATGTCCGAGCACCATCAGGAGAGACGCCTCCCAGCCCTCCCCTGGAAGAGGAGGGCAGCCCCGGGCTGTCTAGATCTGGAGAGGCAGGCCTTGGGGGGCAAGAACGGTAGGGCGCCCTCTTAGGAGCGAGTAGCTTAGTAAGCTTACCCCGCGGGAGCGGGGAAGTGCTTAGAGGTAGTTGGGTAGAACAGCCAGCAGGGAGCAGTATGGGACCCGCATCCCAGCCCAAGGTGGACCAAGAGGTGAAGTGGGCAGTGGGGGAAGGAGGTGGGCAGGCAGTTCCCACGCAGCCCAGGGGAGTCACAGTGCCTTAGAAGCGGCAGAGGCGAGGGTCAAAGAACGGGGTCCTAGGGCTGGTGGAGGCCGAGCTCCCGTGGAGGAGCCCCTCTGCCAGTTTCTGCTGGTCCGTAGGCATGAGAGTTTATTTTTGTATAAGGGGTGGGGGTGGGGGGCACTGTACCCTTCTAGCCCTGTCAGGGGCCCTGTAGACGTCGCTATTTTTGGTACGATTCCTGTCATCCCTGTTGAAGAGTCATGTCCCCAATAAACAGGTGTCTTGAGGCACAAGGCCCTGTGTGTCTGTCTGCCTGCCTGTGTTTTGGTCTCCCTAGGCACTTGATTATCAATGAACTTGGCAAGTTCAAAGCTTTGCTTTACCTCCAGACTTCAGAATAGAGGTAACTCTGGGTGGGCCCTTAAGATTAGCATTCAAACAAGTAGCCTAAGGGGTTCTTTGGCCTCCCCAGCCTGAGGACCTCACTAGACAACGCTGCTTAACGCTGGACCCCTCTGACCATCTCGGCCTCAAGAAGAGGCCCCAAAACGGAGAAGGAACATCCAAGAGTTCATGAGCTCGGAGCCTCTGGGGGGGGGGTATGTCCTCCCACACCCACGCACTATCAGTCCGGGGCCAGGAAAGGGTAGAATAGCTACTTTCTGGCCTTGGTTTTATTTTCTGGATTCCTAGTTGGTGGTTGTAGGGAAGTATTCAAGTTCGTTCAGACACCTTAATCCAGAGGCCTGCTCTGGCCCTTGGGAGGCACAGTGAGAGTAAATACATTTAATATAACAATAGTATAATAACAGTAATTACATATATATAAAGTCTGCAACGCCCACCGCATCTCCTTCAATGGCTTGTAATACTTCATGTCCCATGATACCCCAGAATGGAATTCCATCCGACCTGGCAGAGATGCATCTTCCTTCCGGGAGAGCCGGGGGATGGGAAGAGAAGCAGGCCGTCGGCAGTGCGTGCCCTGCGGCTGAGCAGCAGCACGGGATGAGGGGAAACTGGAAGTGGGATGGGTCACCGCCCCCAGGCTATAAAGGCAAGCACACAGGGCCACTTTGGTTCCTGCAGCGGAAGGCACCAAGCAGGGGAGAGCTACAGACAGCAGTGACGGGGGACGCTCTGGTCCTTGCCCTCGTCTCTCTGTCCAGGAAGTAGAGGGAGGGAACTGAGAGCTTAATCCTCCATCATGTCCCATTGGCATGTCAGCCTAAAAGTGCTGCTGGCGAGGGGCTGCGGCCAAGCTCTGGATTTTCTCTGGAAGCCAGGAGAGAAGAGGGAGATGGGTTGGGAGAGGCAGGAAAGCGTGCATCCGAGGTCAGGAGGGAAGGTCCTCAAAATAGGGGAAGGCATGCTGGATGGTGGGGGGCGACGGGGTGCTGGCTTACCAGGTCACAGAGGCGTGGTGGGGTCGCTCAGGGCTCGGGAATGACTCTGAGGACACAGAAATTGCAGTGTGTTTAGACATGCTCTCTATTGGACATGCCTCTCCCTGCTTCTTAAGGCCTTTTTTTACCTCTGACCTTGATGCTTCTCAGCCAGGCCTACGGGAGAGGAGAAAGGCAGACTGGATAATAAATCCAATCTGTGGCATCAGCTGAGAGTTGTAGCAATTAGTTCCTCTACTCTCCAGTTTGTCAAATGATCAGAAAAGCCTACCCAGCAAGAGACCACCTGCTCCCAGCCTTATGGCAGGGACTTACCTGTCGGGACAGCCCTAAGATCCCTCCACTGGCCAGGGTGGGGGTGCTGCTCCCATGCTTCGAGGGCTGCAGGCTGGGACTGTTTCTTGGTCCTGGGGACACATCTCCCGAAGAGTCGAGTGTTTCTGGGGCTGGAGGGGAAGCTAGGGTGAGAGTCAGGTATAAACCCTTCTAGATTACCTTAAATAACCAACCTCCTCCGGCAGGGAAGAAGCTCCGTAGCAACAGGAAGCTGTGCGTCACCATAGCAATCCAGTTGCAAGAGAACCCCCCTACCAAGAGGCAGGAAATTGTCAGCAGCATCAGAGCAACCAGGGAAGAAGCGACAGGAAACTAAGAATTGCCGTGGTGAACCAGGAGGGTACAACAGGAAGCTGAGGCAGTTTCCATAGAAACTCAAGGAGAGCTAGAGAGAAAGGTACAGAAGAAGTGCTTCTTAGCAAAAGGCTGCTGTAAGCATCTCCCTAGCAACCAGATGGAAGGCTCTTTTAGCAATGGGGAAGCTGTATGTAGTTGTCATGGCAACTGGGCTACTTGGCTAGAAAAAGGAATTGCTCAGCAATAGGCAGCCGGAACATCACCATGACCCAGCGGTTGGGGGCCACCCCTTGAGAGGTGCCTCACCCAGGGAAATCTGCTTGACGTCCAGATCCCAGGCCTCCTCCTCGACGCGGGCAGGCAGGGAGCAGGCTCCCGGTGAGAGGCCGGGAAGGGACGGGCCAGCATGCTCAAAAGATGACACGGCTACGGAGGCCCGGGTGCGGGCGGCTGCAGAGAGTGGGGAGTTGGGGTGGTGGGGTGCTGGTGTGGAGTCCTCCTGGCTCCCTGGAACAGCTCACAAAGGGCTTCCCAGGGAGTCCCCATTTTGGGAAGAGATGCCCACTCAGCACTCAGTACCCTTCCTGACATCTCCCCATTGTTTTTATGTCCTTAGTCAAGGCCTGACTTCTGGGAGCACCCCCAGCACCCTGGACCTTACCTCTTCCAGTGAGCAGGGCACTCAGTGTCCGTTCCCCCAGGGCTTTAATGTCCAGGAAGGGTTTATTGCCAATGCCCATGGAAACCATCTGCTGCACTCGGAGCTCTAGGGAACAGAGGCCCTGTTTGCAACCTTGGCTTGGCCCTCCCGCCTCGGTGTTAGCACGTCCCTGCTGACTTTCTCTCCCAACTCTTGGCCACGCCTCCCCTCTTCTGGCAGCTCCCCTTCCTTGACTGTCCTGGCATGGATGGTGAGGGTGACATTTGACCTCTTCAGACACGCATCTGTTCTCTGCCATGTATCTCATCCTGCCTAGTTGGCCTCCTAACCACCTGATTAGTGTGTGCACATGATATGTGTGCGTTTGCACATCTGGGTGTAAACGTAGGCACGAACATTTGGAGGTCAGAGGACACATTAGGCGTTGGTTGATCTTATGGCTGACCTCTTAGTCATTTTGGTGTGCATGTGCCAGGCTGGCTTGTCTAGCAAGCTTCTGGGGGGAAATATCTGTCTTCACCTCCCATGTGCTCTGTAGCAGTGATGAGATCACAGATGTCCCTGTCACTTTTACTACATCTGCAGGACTGCTGGCTTTTATGTGGGTTCTGGGGATCTGAACTCGGGTCTTCACACTTGCATGACAAACACTTTTACCCAGTAAGCGAGCTATCTTCCTGGCCAGTGACTTCATGTGACACTCCGCTTCCCTTTGTCATGGACATTAAGAGCAAAAGTCATGCTTTTGTATGTCTGTGTGGTTTATAAAGTGCTTCTGTGTGCATCAACCTACTCGAGCCTCCTAATCACACAGATGAAGAATGTGCTATGCCCTTTTCAGATTAATAGAACGATTCAGAGAATTGCAACCACAACAAAACAAATAAAAACCAACAACAAAGGAAAGCTATAGGCCAGGTTACACAGCAGGTAAGAGGTACCAGTCCCCCTTAAGCCGATCCAGTAAGTAGTTTTGCACCTCTTTTGCAGAGACACTTGTTCTTGTTCTTTGGAAATTTGGAGCTTTCTCTTTCCTTCCAGCTAATTTTGTCTCAGCTCTATCTCTTGAACCAGACTTTGAATCGTCTCTTAAAGCATCTTTCCTACAGTCTCCGTACTCCCCAGCAAACCTTCTCCTGTAACCGATCCCAAGCACAAGCCCTCTATGATCTGCCCGTTACCCTTATTGTGGGCTGCCTGTCTCCACAGCAGCTGGGCAATAGAACTTGTCCACTTGAGTTTGGTTTCTGGTGAAGTAGCCTGCAGAGTGTATGCTTCTCGTGCGCGCCGCCGCCGAAACCAAAGCTCGAAACAGAGTCCACTGTCCCCGATGTTTTCTGTCAGCCCCATGTCAGCAGTCTGAGGGAGGGCAGGAGAGAGAGGGTTGAAGGTAGAGGTGCACTCGTTAGGTGGTGCCACATTGGCAAGTGTTTAGCTTGGTAGATGCTCAGCATCTGTCAGATACCAGGCGCTCTAACACAGCCTGCAAACAGCCCTGATTTACAGAGGGAAGAGGAGGCTCTCTGAGACAGGAAGCAGCTTTCACAAGCGCTTACCAGAGTTTTAGTATGGATTCAAACCCATTTCTACCCCAGACACAGACCTTTCCTTCTGTCCGCTGGAACTAACATCCCTACCATTCCACCTGGTCCAGGACTGTGGGTTGCTGTTTACGTTTATTTCTGGTTAGATGCCCAAAGCAAGTTCTATTTAGTTCAGTGAAATTAAGGTGTGTGTGTGTGTGTGTGTGTGTGTGTGTGTGTGTGTGTGTGTGTGTGGTGTCCTTTCTCCTTATATACCAGGGACCACCTCTAACTCAAAAGACGTGTGGGTTTTTTGGTGTTTTTTTAAGACAAGGTTTCTCTGCATAGCCCTGGCTGTCCTGGGGGGGGCTGGCTTTGTAAACCAGGCTGGCCTGGAACTCAGAGATCCCCCTACCTCTGCCTCCTGAGTTCTGGGGTTAAAGGTGTGTGCCACCACTGTCCAACAGGCATGTGTGTTCTCATTGGGAAGGTCATTTTCCATTCTGTCTTGAAATGCCTCCTTAAGTCTTCTGCGTAAATTATATGGAAAACCCAAAGTAGTTGACCAAGGACAGGGATTTATTTCACCTTCTGATACCCTAAAATTGATGACCAACTGAGGCCAAAACCTATTTTAGGTGAAGATTCTGAGTCTGCTTGAGGCTGAACTTCCAGAACATTCTGAATTCTCATGTCAAGCATGGCACAATATCCCCCACTCCATGCCGTGTACCTTGAAAGCCTGCTTGTAAACGAAGGTCTCAGGGCCCCCCTCGGAGCCCTTGAACTTGCTGAACAAGAGCAGGTCCTCAAAGAGAAAGACATGGCGGAGGCACTTCTTCCGGCCGCAGATGACAGTGAATGGGTCCCGATGCAAGAGCTGTCCCTGTTCCTTCAAATCGATCTGGAGAAAGAAGAAGGGAAAGCTGTAAGAGAATGAGAGGGAAGGCTCCGGAAGTCAGGGAGGGCCTGACCCTAACCCTATCCACTGCGTCTCATGCACAACTGTGTAGCAGCAGTCATTCCTCCGAAGATGAAAGATGCCCAGCGTAGTCGTTAGAAGTCTTTGC